CAGCAGGTGGGCAGATACAGGAACTGGAATCCACCGTTATTAGGCAACCTCCCCGATGACTTCCTGCGGATCCTGCCTCAGCAGTCAGAAAGTCTTCAGGTAGAGTCAGAAACTGCGATTCAATATTAAAAGTCTGACCCATCTGGGACTCGAACCAGCTGCCTTCGTTTACGTCGCCTCACAGCCACTGGTTCGAGTCCTAGCTGGTATTTCTGTGTAGAGTTTGCATGTTCTCCCCCATGTTGGCGTTGGTTTTCTCCAGGTGCTCAAATTTCCCCCTACAGTCCAAAGATGAGTTGCCAGCCACTGCAATAGTCAATTTGAGACCCTCGTTTAAAAGCAATCTGATTCTATCAGCTCATCTGATGGTTGATGTTTTTGATGTGATTTTCAGTAAAAACTTTGTGCGTGTGTGTGTGTGTGTGTGCGTGTGTGTGTGTGTGTGTGTGTGTGTGTGTGTGTGTGTGTGTGTGTGTGTGTGTGTGTGTGTGCGCCCACAGCGCTCTCAGAGCAGCCTGTCTCAGCCCTCGTCGTCCTCCTCCTCATCGTTGTCGTCTCTGACGCAGCTCTCGTCCAGCAGCGGTGCCTTGTCAGGAGGCGTTTGGCCCTCTGAACAGGACAGAAAGTTGAAGCAGTACTTGGAGGACGAGCGAATCGCACTTTTCCTGCAGAATCAGGAGTTTATGAAAGAGCTGCAGCGTAACAGAGACTTCCTCATAGCTCTGGAGATAGGTATACTCGCACACACAAGCAAAGCTATCTCTATGTGGACCATAGATGTAACGATTTTTATTCAGTATTGTTCAGACTTCACACTAACTGACAAAAGTCTTGTCGCCTATCAAAGTTTTTGGAACATCAAATAATAACTTGACTTCTAGTTGATTTTGTATCAGAAGTGGCTTATATGAAAGGCAAAGGCCTCTAGATTACACTAATTTTACCAGAATAAAATATGATCATGCATTTTTTTTTCTATTTAATTAGGACAGTAAGGTCTGACTGTGCTTAGACAAAAGTCTCGTCACTAAGCATACATAATGTCCAGTATAGAATATAAAGTCATGGTGGTGTGGAAAAAGAATGATTATTGTGTATGACTCCCATGAGCCTGGAGGACTGCATCCACACATCTCTGCAATGACTCAAATCACTTATTAATAAAGTCATCTGGAATAGCAAAGAAAGCATTCTTACAGGACTCCCAGGGTTCATCAAGATTCTCTGGATTTATCTTCAATGCCTCCTTCATTTTATCCCAGACATGCTTAATAATGTTAATTTCTGGTGACTGGGGTGGCCAATATTTGTGCATATACATTAGTCAGTACTAAAGCCAAATATGGAGCTTATCTAATAAAATAACTTGCGATAGCGGTCCAAAAACTAGTACACCCAAATTTGTTATTGAAAAATATTAAATACTAATTTAAAAAAAGAGAAAAAATAAAGAGAAACAAAAAAATGAAAACATTTAGTTGATTAGTTGATTTCTTTTTTTTTTTTTTTTTTTGCAATATTTTGCTTGAATTCAAGTGTATTGTCTTTCAATTTCTAAATATGTTTGGTGACTAAAATATTATTTTAATAAATATATCTGTTTTGCACTAAAAATGAATAAAAATATTCATTTTCAAAATGGTGTACTCAATTAAGCTGAGCACTGTAAATATTGATTTTTAGGTTGCACAATATCAATGTTTTATATGTAGAATTAAAAAAAACTATTTGGTGGAATAACGCTGATTATAAATCACAACAGATGAAAAATCGTAATCTTTAAGCTATTAAATAAATAGTATTTTATATAATATAAATAAATCGTTATTAGACCTTTATTAAACAAACAAACAAACCCAAATATAAAACAAACAACCTACCTAATAAATCAATTAAACCCTAATTGAGAATATAACTGATTAGCGTGAATTTAAATGATAATTAATGAATTTTTACTAATTTTACTAATTACCATTTATGTCTCAAGTTTCATTGGATACATCTGAACAATTTTTAGGGTTTCATTTTTAAGTAAATCCAGTTATGATGAAAGATTTTCATCTGAATGCATAACTAGATCAGTAACACACTGTCACGCAAACACCCATGTTTCAAACATACTTCACATGTGATGAAATAATGTTTGAAATTCTCCATGTGAGAAAGACCTGTCATTCATGGGAAATAATTCATCCACCACCATTGCAGTCAAGCATCTTTTCTGCAGTCTTTACCACTATTTAGGTGTTTTCCCATAAGATTTCTTCCTCCCTTTATCAGCTTTTGAAAAAAAAAAGATATATATTATTAGAAGTGTTATACCAGTAAATGGATTTGGGTACTACATATTGAACTCTGTTTCTCTTTATAGTTACTAACAGATTTGCAATGTTTTTCATTCTCACATTCATCTCTCTCATCGTTCTACCTAAAATGCATTTTAGATGAACCACAGAAGTTGATGAGTAAATGTAGGGTGGAGAATTGGTTCAGTCCATTGCTTGTTGATTGGATGAAGGCAGACTTAAGGACAAGAACGCAGCCAATTGGAAGCAAGTCTGTCAATAAATCAGCTCATGTACGGTGCATCTCTAAAGTATTAATAGCGCTTCACTTTTCCACATTTTTTTTTTTAAAGTTACAGCCTTATTCCAAAATAGATTAGACTAATTTATTTCCTCTAAATTCTACACTCAACACCCCATAATGATGATGTGGAAAAAAATAGTTTTTTAAATTGTTAAACGTTTGTTAAAAAAAAAAAAAAAACTGAAAAATCACATGTACATTAGTATTCTTACCTTTGCCGTGAAACTCTAAATTGAGCTCGGGTACATTCTGTTTCCACTGATCATTCTTGAGATGCTTCAGTAGCTTAATTGGAGTTCACCTGTGCTAAATTCAGTTGATTGCACATGATTTGAAAAGGTCTATATAAGGTCCCAGGGTTGACAGTGCATGTCAAAGCACAAACCAAGCATGAAGACAAAGGAATTGTCTGTAGACCTCAGAGACAGGATTGTTTTGAGGCACAAGGCTAAGGAAGGTTACAGAAAAATTTCTGCTGCTCTGAAAGTTCCAGTGCGCACAGTTGCCTCCATCCTTAAGTGGAAGGTGTTTGGAACCACCAGGATTAAGCTGAGGGATCGGTGGAGAAGGGCCTTAGTCAGGGAGGTGATTAGTATCACGATGGTCACTCTGTCTGAGCTCCAGTGTTCTTCTGTGGAGAGAGGAAAACCTTACAGAAGGACAACCATCTGTGCAGCAATAAAGCCTGTATGGTAGAGTGGCCAGACGGAAGCCACTACCCACCTGGAATTTGCCAAAAGGCATCTGAAGGACTCTCCGACCATAAGAAGCAAAATTCTCTGGTCTGATGAGACTAAAATTAAGCTCATTAGAGTGAATGCCAGGCGTTATGTTTGGAGAAAACCAGGCAGCGCTCCTCACCAGGCTAATACCATCCCTACAGTGAAGCGTGGTGGTGGCAGCATCATGCTGAGGGGATGTTTTTCAGCAGCAGGAACTGGAAGACTAGTCAGGATAGAGGGAAAGAAGAATGCAGCAATGTACAGAGACGTCCTGAATAAAAACCTTCTTCAGAGTGCTCTTGACCTCAGACTGGAGCAACTGTTCATCTTTCAGCAGGGTAATGACCCAAAGCACACCGCTAAAATATCAATAGAGTGGCTTCACAACAACTCGATGATTGTCCTTGAGTGGCTCAGCCAGAGCCCAGACCTAAATCCTATTGAACATCTGAAAATGGCTGTTCACCGTCGCTTCCCATCCAACCAGATAGAGCTTGAGAGGTATTGCAAAGAGGAATGAGCAAAAATTCTCAAAGACCGGTGCGCCAAGCTTGTGGCATCATATTCAAAAAGACTTGAGGCTGTAATTACTGACAAAGGTGCATCAACAAAGTATTGAGCAAAGGCTGAGAATACTGATGTACATGCGATTTTTCAGCTTTTTTTTTTTATAAATTTGCAGCAATTTCAAAAACTCTTTTTTCACATTATCATTATGGGGTATTGTGTGTTAAGGAAATAAATTAATTTAATTTATTTTGGAATAAGGCTGTGACATAACAAAATGTGGGAAAAAATTAAGCGCTATGAATACTTTCCAGATGCACTGCAGTGAAGTCTGATGATCTTTTATGATAAACAGAGGATACTAATCATTCTGCCTAAAATGCATTTTTAAAATCACAGAAGTTTTTGTGTGTGTGTGTGTGTGTGTGTGTGTGTGTGTGTGTGTGTGTGTGTGTGTGTGTGTGTGTGTGTGTGTGTGTGTGTGTGTGTGTGTGTGTGTGTGTGTGTGTGTGTGTATGCATATATGTGTATATTTATGTCTGTGTGTATTTGTGTACGTGTCTGTGTTTGTGCGCATATGGATGTGTGTGTGTGCGCGTTCTTGTGTTTATGTGTTTGCGCACAAGTGTGTGTGTGTGTTTATGTGTGTGTGTGTGTGTGTGTGTGTGTGTGTGCGTTTGTATGTTTCCCTGCAAGTGTTTGTGCATGCATATGTGTGTGTATGCATGTGCATGCATACATAAGTTTGTTTATGTATATATGTGTGTGCGCGTGCGTGCATGCATCCATACATGGGCATGTTTATGTGTGTGCATGTATGCATGCATTTGGTTGTGCTTGTGTGTGAGTATCAAGTGTGCATGTGTGTGTTTGAGTATGTGTTTGTATGTTTGCGCACAGGTGTGTGTGCATGTATATGTTTGTGTGCGTCCATACAGGTCTGTTTATGTGTATGTGTACATAAGTTTGTGTGTGTATGTTTGTGTGTGTGCGTGTGTAAGCATCCTTCATTTCTAACAGAGTGTTGTGTGTTTGGCTGGTCTCCACCTGTCCTCAGTGACTCTGTTACCTGCTGTTTTAGATCGTCAGAGGTGTGAGAACACACAGTGTGGTCATTCATCTGCTTGCACGGAGAACTCAGCCGAAGGTAGATTCCCTTCATCTTCATCCATCAGCCACGCATATACACCAGCTTTGTTTCCATCAGTGTGTTTTTATGCACATATCGGGATACTGCATAAAAGAACTGCAGGATGGAAACAAACACTGTGCTTAAAATCATAAATGCGTACAAAAATTTCTTCATGAATCCTCGATTATAGGCAAACAAACTGGATTGTTTTTTTTTGCCTCCGTATCCTTTTAATTTTCTCATCATTTATTTGTTTTCCTCTGCAGAAATGTACAGTATGTAGACAGTAATGTTGACGTGCTCTTGCTCCTCATATAGGTGATAACTGTAGCTCTGAGGAGGCCTGTTCGTCTGCCTCTGATGATGCCTTATTCCTGGAGAAACTCAAGCACATGGGCAAATGTAAGAAAGTAGATCCAGAGCACATTTATCGTTTAACTCAAGATCCTAGTGCTTTCTGACCGCTGCATTATTCCTTCCACAGCCACAAGGAAGAAGCTTTTTGAAATTGCTCGTTCATTCTCGGAGAAGACCAGAAGGAAGAAGTCTAAAAAGCGAGCTCTGGCCAAACATCAGTCATATCCTGCTCATGTTTCCAGCCTTGACAGTCACTGCCAGAGGGTTGCGCCTACGTATGTTGTGTAGAGATGTCAATGCTAACGTGCTTGCGTGTGTGTGTGTGTTTACAGTTGAAGTCAGAATTATTAGCCCCCCTGAATTATTAGTCCCTCTGTTTATTTTTTTCCTCAATTTCTGTTTAACGGAGAAGATTTTTTAAAATAAATTTCTAAACATAATAGTTTTAATAACTCATTTCTAAAAGCGGATTTCTTTTATCTTTGCCATGATGACAGTAAAGAACATTTTATTAGATATTTTTTAAGAGACTAGTTAGCATTCAGCTTGAAGTGACATTTTACGCAGGTGTTTCTTTTGACACGTAACACTCAAATGTTAGCGGGAAATAGACGTTTTTAAAATGTCAGTACTGATTGATACTGAAATTCTAGTATTGTGACTACTAGATAACTACTGACTGCTAGAACACTAACCAGCCCCTAAAGCAGCATTGGAGAAAGTTATGATGTTCAAAATGTCTTTAAATCTTTTGGCCTTGTAGCCAAATTTGACCAGTTTGTGCTAGGTGTAAATGACAACAAAATATGTAATTTAACAGTTATGATTTGTTATGTGGTGTATATAAAAAAAATAAAATCTGCTTATATTTGTGCAAAAAATAATAATAAAAAAAAACAAAACTAAAAAAGTGACATTTTACGGCTTAACTAGGTTAATTAGGCAAGTTAGGGTAATTTGGCAAGTCATTGTATAACGATTGTTCTGTAGACAGTCGAAAAATAATATATAGCTTAAAGGGGCTAATAATCTTGACCTTCAAATGGTTTTAAAAAAAATTAAAACCTGCTTTTATTGCTGCCAAAACAAATCAAATAAGACTTTCTCCAGAAGAAAAAATATTACAGAAAATGCTGTGGAAAAATTACTTGCTCTGTTAAACATCATTTGTGAAATATTTGTAAAAGAAATAAAAATTTGAATAGTTTTGTCATCAACTACACATATACACAGCCCTCCTGGGAAATTTTATTTCTTTATCAAGTGTTTTCCAAGCAATGTTTAACAAAACCAATGAATTTTTACTGGAGAAACTCTTTTTTTTTTTCAGTTTGGCAGAAAAAATTTTTTTTTAAAAACATAAAAATATTGCTAAAGTCAATATTATTAGCCCCTCTTAGAATTTTTTGCCACCACAAAAGCAATTAGTTAGTAAAAATTATTTAATAAGGCTAATATGTTCAAAAATGTGTTCAATAAAATCTTTCATTCAGTCATTTTCCTTCGGCTTATTCTTTTTATTCATCAGGGGTCACCGCAGCGAAATGAACCGCCAACTTATCCACTATATGTTTTACACAGCGGATGCCCTTCCAGCTGCAACCCATCACTGGGAAACTGAAAACAATCTTCTCTCCATTAAACACAAAACATATTATCTTACACAGTATATGATTTTTTAAAAATCTGAATATGAACTGTAACAAAAAAAGCTTCTTTTTGAAGGTTAAAAGTCCTGTAATAAAGGGCCCCGTATGCTTTGTTTAGATCTTACCTTTTGGTAAGTGTCTGATGTAGTGATTTGTGACAGAAAAATTGTGGTGATCTAAAAGAAAGAAGCAAATCTGAAATGAGTTGTCAATAGGGATGAACAATATATTGTTTGAGCATTGTATGTATCCGCAATATTAATCTCAGGATTAGATTATTCATTAAATATAAAAAGATATATATATATATATATATATATATATATATATATATATATATATATATATATATCTTTATCTTTTAGCACGGTGGCTCATCGTTTAGCTCTGTCACCTCACAGCAAGAAAGTCGCTGGTTTGAGTCCTGGCTAAGCCAGTTAGCATTCTTGTGTGGAGTTTGCATGGTTTCCATGTTGGTGTGGGTTTTCTCCATGTGATCCGGTTTCCCTCACAGTCCAAAGACATATGCTATAGCCGACAGCTAGCTCTCTGCAACTCTCACATGGTTGCCCACTGAAGCTAAGCAGGGCTGCGCACTTTCAGTACCTGGATGGAAGACCACATGGGAAAGCTAGGTTGCTACCGGAAGTGATGTTAGTGAGGCCAGCAGGGGGTGCTCAAGGTCCTGCTGTCTGAGTGGGTCCTAACGCCCCAGTATAATAAAGGGGACTATGTACTGCTCAGTGAGTGCCGTCTTTCGTATGAGGCGTTAAACCGAGGTCCTGACTCTCTGGTCAATAAAAATCCCAGGATGTCCTTTGAAAAAGAGTAGGGGTTTTAACTCTGGCATCCTAGCCAGATTTACCCTCTGGCCTCTGTCCATCATGGCCTCCTAGTCATCCCCTTATCATTGTTAGCTTCATCACTCTGTCTCCTCACCACCAATCAGCTGGTGTGTGGTGAGCGGTCTGGCGTAATATGGCTGCCATCGCGTCATCAAGGTGGATGCTGTACACTGGTGGTGGATGAGGAGATTCCACCCAAATATGTGTAAAGCGATTTGAGTGTCCAGAAAAGTGTTATATAAATTATAGGAATTATTATTATTATTATTATAGGTGAATTGAATGAACTAAATTGGCCATAGTGTATGAGTATGTGTGTAAATGAGTGTGTAAATGTACTGTGTGGCAACTAGAATGGCGTCCGCTGTGTAAAACATATGCTGGAATAGTTGCCGGTTCATTCTGCTGTGGCGACCCCTAATAAATAAGAGACTAAGCCAAAGAAAAATTAATAAATATTACATTTCTGTCCTTGAATATTGTTGGACAAACCATAAAGCATTGTTTATTCTGCTCTGTCGTATTTATATATGCTTGTAATTTATTATCTTTTATGCAGATCCACTGTATAGAAAAAGAATTGATCATCCCAGTTGATCAAAATGATTGAAATCTTTCCAAATAGTTGAAACTGGTGAAATTATATAAATATCTCAATATGTTTATCCCAGAAACGCTAAATATAGCGATGTCAGATTTTTCCAATATCGTGCAGCTCTAGTTGTCTGCAATTCCAGTCTGATTTTCTGCTCAAATCAATTTGTAACAAATTTGTTTAATTCAAGATGAATTTACATCCAAATGTCAAAACAGCATAACGGGCACTTTATAAATGGTTTTGAACCAGTATTTCGTTTAACCCTTGACTTCCTCTCAGTCTGGGCTCTGCAACCTCCACTGTCAATCTCCTGGATGAAATTGAGGGGCTGCCACAGGGTAAACAATCCCTTATTATGATCAATATTGGCACTGCAGTGATTTGGTGAAACCCTTGTGAAGTGAATATGTGTTTGTGTTTTAAGCTGAGGATGACAGCCATCATAAACGACCATCAGGACGGGAAGAAGGAGAAGAGTCAAAGGAAGTGATGTCATAGTAAGTAACAAATGAACAGTTGAAGCGAAACAGATCGGCTGCGTCCGAAATCGCCTACTACTTTGAATATGTACTACATTAGAATTTAATATTACTACACGACCATTAGAAAAGCCCATTCTATAGTATAAATAGGGCTCAGACGTACTACATCCGCCATTTTCTCATTATCACGTGCAGGGGGCGGAATGACCATAGGGAGCACCGGTCTGGCCTGCCACCGTGATTCTGGCCAGCACCCCCCGCCCCACTTTCATAAACATCGTGCTCCTCCACCTGCTTCTCACTTTAGCCTGACCTTAAATAACATTTCCCGGGTGAAAATGCTGTCCCAGTCTGGCCCTCATCATGTGACCTACCCACAGTTGCATCGCTTCACTCGAATTTATGAATTCTCTCGTGTGGCATCATGGCATAGCGTAACGTCTATCGAATGTGCACTTGTGAATCTCGCCATAAGTGGTACTGTAGGTCATCCGGGTACTTCTCACATACTTATTTTCCAATACTATTGCTGTGTCTCAATTTGCATACTATCCACCCTAAATAGTATTCGAAAAAAAAAAATTATGTTCCAAACTAGTATGTTGAATGCCAAAGGTTCCCTGATGGTGTACAATTTACATTCGAAATTCAAAGTGTAAAATTGTTCAGTCTTTAGCAGGTCGCACACCAGAAGCACCGCTCGGCGGCGCACCACGCAGCGCCATGTATTTTAGAATTCTAAACATAGGTTTCTATCAGGATACACACACCGGCGCCGCAAGTCGGCGGCTGTCGGCGGCGCCCGGCGACGGCTCAGGACGCAGTTCATTTTTCAGCCGCGCCACAGAGCGCCATCTGATTAGTTTCATGTTAAATATCATTCGAATGTGCGCGTCTGGTGTGTGATACCTTAAACTGTCATGTACCTGCCGTGTCGCGGCGCCGAACGGCGCTTCTGTTGTGCGACCTGCTTTAGCCTGCGTCCGAAACCGCCTACTACTCAGTAGGTACTGCATTTGAATTTAACCGTACTACTCGGCCGTTAGAAAAGTACGTTCTATACAGTATGAATGTGAAACGTATGAATGGAATTCGGACGTACTACATCCGCCATTTTGTCATGGTCACTTGACCTACCTGCGTCAGTTGCGTCGCTTTACTTCCATTCATAAATTCGCTCGCGGGGCATCATGGGATAGCGCAGCATGCATGGGATGCGCACTCTGGTATCTCGCCGGAAGTAGTAAGTCATCCGGGTACTTCTCGCATACTGATTTTCGAATTCTATGAATTCGGACATACTACTCGGCTCGCATACTGATTTTGGCGTACTATATAGTATGAAAGTATGCGGTTTCGGACGCAGCCTTTAACTGCTAATATTTCCCACAATACATTGCACAATGAATTTGATTAGAACTACAGACATTTGGTGGAAAAAGGTAAATAAACTACAAACATGGCGGAAGTGCGAGTCCAGCCGTCAAGTTCAGAGGCTTGTATTGTATAGAAGTTGTTTGAATGACTATTAATTATTATCTAGCCAACTGGAAAATATTTCAATCATATTTTCTTTGTTATATGTCATCTGCAACAAAAATGTGAACTTCTATAAAGATGTGTTTAGAAATTAACTTCTGAATGCATAAATATGCAAAGACCTAAGGAGTTTTCTCTGCATAAAAGACTCAAATGACAGATTAACCTGCATCTGCAATATGGTAGGTAATTAAATATGAACTAAATGTGGATGATGTGTCGAGATGAGTGACAGAGGGCATAACTAAGCAACATAACGGTCCGTATGTCCAAAAAGCTTGCTTACTCTTCTGTTACACACTTAAAAGTATGCACTTTTTAATCACTAAAAAGTACATTTTTTAAGGATGTAGTATAAGTGTGTGAATTGGGATGCTGCATATTAAATTAGACATGCTACTCAGCTCACATACTGTTTTTAACATACTATATAGTATAGGGAGTAATGAGATTTTGGACGCAGCCAAACTTAATAGCCCTCCTATGGACTTTTAATTCATTTCCAAATATTTCCCAAGTGATGTTTAACAGCAAACTGTCTTTTAGTTGGGATAAGTAGATTTGTTAATTAATTAATTACCCTAACTTGCCAATTAACCTACTTAAGCCATAAAATTGTAATTTAAGCTGAATATTAGTATATTACTACATAACTAGTGAAATAGTATGTCCTGTCATCATATCAAAGACAAAAAAAAGTTGCTAAAAAATAATTTCACTCACTGGCCACTTTATTAGGTACACCTGTTCAACTGCTCGTTAACACAAATTTCTAATCAGCTAATCGCATGGCAGAAACTGAATGCATTTAGGGCATTTAAACATGGTCAAGACGATCTGCTGCAGTTGATACCGAGCATCAGAATGGGAAAAAAACGTGATATAAATGACTTTGAGCGTGGCATAATTGTTGCTGCCAGACGGGCTTTCTAGTATTTCAGAAACTGCTGATTTACTGGGATTTTCACACACAATCATCTCTAGTGTTTACTAGCTGATAGAAAGGCAACAGTGAATCAAATAAACACTTGTTACATCCGAGGTATGCAGAAGAGCCACTCCTGTCAGCTAAGAACAGGAAACTGAGGCTACAATTCGCACAGGCTCACCAAAATTGGACAATAGAAGATTGGAAAAATGTTGCCTGGTCTGATGAGTCTCGATTTCTCCTGCAACATTCGAATGGTATCCATCCTGCCTTGTATCAACGGTTCAGGCTGGTGATGGTGGTGTAATGGTGTGTGGGGGGTAATTTCTTGACACACTTTGGGCTCATTAGTACCAATTGAGCATTGTGTCAACACCACAGCCTACCTGAGTATTGTTACTGACCATGTCCATCCCTTTATGACCACAGTGTACCCATCTTCTGATGGCTACTTCCAGCAGGATAACTTACCATGTCATAATTCGTGAACCATCTCAGACTGGTTTCTTGAACATGACAATGAGTTCACTGTACTCAAATGGCCTCCACAGTCACCAGAGCTCAATCCAATAGAGCACATTTGGGATGTGGTGAAACGGCAGATTCGCATCATAGATGTGCAGCTGACAAATATGCAGTAACTGCGTGATGCGATCATGTCAATATGGACCAAAAACTTTGAGGAATATTTCCAGTACCTTGTTGAATCTATGCCACGAAGGATTAAAGCAGTTCTTAAGGCAAAAGCGGGTCCAACCCGGTACCAGTAAAGTGTACCTAATAAAGTGGCCGGCGAGTGTTAATCTCTGTTAAACAGCATATGGAAATATTTAGGCTAACATTTTTTTGTCTTCAACTGTATAAAACTCCAATGGAAATTACAGATTGTTTTAAATATTTACCATGTGAACTGTTCTGATCTCCGATAGATGAATATGAACTGCAGCAGCAAGTGGAAAGCATCCCTGAAAAGGAAATCATCATCAAGATGAAGACTATTATTAATCTCTATTAGTTTCCTGCAATGCTTAATGAAACCTGAGCCATGAAATCATCGTAGTAGTTATTGTCTGTGACATTCTGGATCAACGGTTTAGTGTTCAGAAGACAGGGAGGTGTTAATAAGACTGCTCAGTGCTGAGACTCAGGACTCAGAAACATCAACAAGCACAAAAAAAAACCTCATTGCTCAGCTTGATAAGAAAATCTGTGTTTATCTCAGGAGAACTCTCATGTTTAATGCTCTGTACATTTCTTATTTGATTAGATATGTCTTTGATATCTGGGTGATTGATTTCTGAAACTAGCTGTCAGGTTTAGTTTCTATGTTGGATTCTTTTCAAGCTACTCGCGGTCTTAAAAAAATCATGCGTCTTCATCATTCATTTCTGACATGATCATTCATGATTTCATTTTTTAGTGAAGTAAGATCTGGTTGTGTGTATTTGCAATGGGATAGTAGGCTAATAGTATTTAAAAAATGTAATTTTCAGAGTTTAGGGCTGTTAGCTCATTGTAAATTGCTATTGATTTTCAGAGAATCAATTTGTTTGTTATTAAATAAATTACGTTTTGAAACCAACAACATGTCCTTGTTTGTCTTTAGAATATTATACTTTTTTTTTTTGCATTGAAAAATGAACTCTAAGCACTTATTATTTAAATAGTTTGTTCATTCATTTTCTTTTCAGCTTAGTCCCTTTATTAATCTGGGGTCGCCACAGCAGAATGAACTGCCAACATCCATACACACTCATTCACACTACGGCCAATTTTGCTTACCCAATTCACCTATCCACAGAGGCGGATTTAACCAATGAGCAAGGTAAAAGGCCACTTAGGAAATCTGAGGGCCCCCAAATAAATATCTAGAACTAGAAGTATAAATAATTCCTATACATTATATTTATAACGTTGTTTTCTATTATATTTTGTACAGTGAGGACCTAAAAAATTAAATGGTAACACTTTATAATAACTACACACTATAAATCATTTATTAAGCATAAGCAAAGAGTGAATTCATTATCTGTCAAGCATTAACTCTACATTAATAAGCGTTAGTAAGCAGTTTATAACTGCAGCTACAAATGCTGTATTCTTGACTTACAAACATATTTATACTGTGCTTAATAATTTTACTTTTTATACTTTGTTAATGATTTATTTTTCATTACTAAATTAAGCATTGCATTATTTACAAACCATTTGTATTGAAGAGTAGTTGAGGGGTTTTAGGATCATTTAGAATGAGTTAGTAAATGATTATTAAACAATGGAAATCAACGTTTATATGTCCTATTATTCAGGCATATTTTAATGGTTAATTTGTATGTTCATAAATGCTTTATTAACTCAACTTCATGCAGTTTTGTGACCTGATCTAAAGTGAGGACTATTTATGCTTTATAAATCCCTTATAAATGACAAATAAAGGCTCAGTTAAATTCTAAACAGGAAAAATGACATAAACTATATTATTCAAATGAAACTGTACTTCAAATAAAAAATAAATCTTTGCAACCTTATCTAAAATCAGTGTAGAGTTTTAACATTGAATCTTATTATATTGTTAAATTATTATATTGTTGTTGTTGTTTTATCCAGTTGGATGTTGGATTTTGATACTCCTGTTATTCAGCAATGTTTAAACTTTACAGTAATTTTACTTTTTAGATAAGATTGCAAAGATTTTTGTTCATTTAATTCTGAGCTTTTAATTGTCATTTATAAGGAATTTATAAAGCATAAATAGTCCTCACTTTAGATTAGCTCACAAAACTGCATGAAGTTGAGTTAATAAAGCATTTATTAACATATTAGTTAACTATTAATATATGCCTGAATAATAAGACATATAAATGTCGATTTCAATAGTTTATTAATCATTTACTAACTCATTTCGAATTTTTCTAAAACTCCTCAACTACTCTTAAACACAACTGGTTTGTAAATAATGCGATACTTAATTTAGTAATGAAAATAAATCATTAACAAAGTATGAAAATACAACTAATAAGCATGTTATATAGGTGCTTATAAGTCAAGGATAGAGCATTTGTAGCTGCATTTATAAACTGCTTATTAATGTTTATTAAAGTAGAGTTAATGCTTAACAAATAATGAATTCACTAGATGCTAATGCTTAGTAAATGATTTATAGTGTGTAGTCATTATAAAGTGTTATTAAATCTGTCCCCCCACACTCAATCTTGGACCAGTTCAGCAGTGAAATCAGCAAAGTAGTTTAAAAAAAAGAAAGAAATAGTTAATTTATTACTTTTAATACATTTAAGCAAACAAATCGTTTCAAAGGTTTTAGAAGATTTTATGCTTTACATGTTATTGTTTTGCATTAAGATAAAATGTAGAAAATGAGATCGAGTGATACAAGAATAATTATATAAGGAAGTGTAATTTAATTTATATAAATACATGAAAAAATAAAGTAGAGAGGGTGCATTTTAAATGTTTGGCCCTCATGACTGGATTATTTTAGGGCTCCTAAATCACCTAATCCACCCCTGCCTATACCACGTCTTTGGACTTGTGAGGGAAACCGAAGCACCCGGAGGTAACTCGCACGAACACAGGGAGAACATGCAAACTCCACACAGAAATGCCAACTGACCCAGCTGAGGCTCGAACCAGCGATCTACCAACTGAGCCACTGCGTCGCCCTAAATAGTTTGTTGATTCATTGGATTTACAATTTTTTTTAAGGTAAATAGTTGCAAAGAATTTATATGGGCTGAATTTAAACAAATTAGGTTTAGTAATGTTCAACTTAATTTGTTTAAATTCAGCCCATATAAATAGTTATAATAGCATCCCCTTACCTTAAAAATGTAAATCCAATGAGTAGTTTTTTCAGTGTTTTCTTTTCTGTTTATTATAGAAATTGGCCGTGGTTTTATTATAGTTAAAGTAACCATGGTGTATTGCAACCACAGTTTTGTTTATATGACCAGTTTACTACATGTACACTGAAAAATGATGTCTGCTAAATTGTTGCAAACAATTTATATGTGATTAAATTAAATTTAGTAAGGCTCAACTTAAATTGTTTTAATTCAGCCCAAATAAATTGTTTACAACCACTTAAAAAAACGTGTTAATCCAAGAAATAATCTTTGAATCATTTTATCAGTGTACCAGGGTTAAACTATGGTGTAGCAGCACTACTGTTAAATTGTGGTTAACATTTTTCTCTCTTGTTTTGTAGCCTATAAAACTATTACTATTTAAATATTAAAGAGATAGTTCACCCAAAAAAGTTAATTCTGTCATCATTTACTGATTGTGCTTATTGTTTACTTATTGTTTTTGATCAATTAAACAGATTTAATACATCAATTTCAATTTAAAAAATGTAAAAAAAAAAAAAAAAGAAGGCTGCGGATTTGAGAGATACGCATATCTGACTGACAATAGAATTGACAGCGATATATGTTTTGGTGGAAGATCAAAATTACTAGCAATTCCTAGCAAAAACAACCCAAATTAAACAAAATACTAGGCTATATTAATTTATAGTTAATACTATAGTGTTTTGTAACCATATATTCTAATATAATATTTACAACTTTGTTTATGAATGCTACAGAATAGCCTACTAGTAGCCTAATAGTGAACTGAAAAACCAATACTGTAGAATACTTTAGCTTTTCCTTCAGTAAACTGTGAATCGCAGTAGGCCTAGCTATCTCTGACAATGGAATTGATTTGATCCAAACCTCTGTTGAACCGAAATAAAAGATTTTTTGAAGAAAGCTGGAAACCAGTAACTATTGACTTCCATGGTATTTTTTTGTTTCTGCTGTGGATGTCAATGGCTGCTTTTTTCCCCCAACATTCTTCAGAATAAAAAAATAATAAGAAGAAATTCAACCACTTGAGTGTGAGTAAATAGTAAGTAACACTATTAAGGAACTATCTCTTTAAGGAAGATTATTATTCTCTAAAAGAACCAGTAGAGGACGCCACAAGACAGGCTTTTCAGTCATTCATTTTCTTTTCAGCTTAGTCTCTTTATTAATCAGGGGTCGCCACAGTGGAATGAACCTCCAACTTGTATGTTTTACAAAGCAGATGCCCCTCCAGCTGCAACCCATGGGAAATACCCATACCCTATCATTCACACACATACACTACAGACAATTTAGCTTACTTAATTCACCCATAGCGCATGTCTTTGGACTGTGGGGGAAACTGGAGCACCCGGAGGAAACACATGCCAACACAGGGAGAACATGCAGACTCCACACAGAAATGCCAACTGACCCAGCCGAGGCTCAAACCAGCGACCTTTTTACTGTGAGGCGACAGCTTTACCCACTGCGCCACCACGCCACAAGACAGGCTTTAAACAGGTAAAAATAGTTTGAATATTTTTTTCTGTGTGTTTTTGAACCATAATATAAAGTATATTATACTGTATATGAGCAATTCCATGCAACTGTCAACCTTGCCATGAAAAAAAAAAAAATTCGCCAAAATAGCAAAACCGTTTCTGCGTTTAATAAGTAGGCTTGTATTTTACAGTGCTTTAAAAATACTGGAAAATGTCTCTGTCAGAGTTTTCAAGCAATTATATTTGATTTGCCAAAGTCACACAAGTGGCAATTTCACATCCGTCACATCCATAACGACACATTTTCCTCATAAATGCAAAGATGCAAAATCAAATAAAAACAATTATGTTTGTTCTATAAAGAGCCAACTCTTATCCTCTTTATTAGTATTGTTTCTTTTGGATTGTGTAGTTTAATTCACAGAATTTCTACTGTAAACTTGCAGACTTTTTTTGTCACATCCGTAACGCATGTTTATTTTCCTCGTTTAAAATGTTAAAAATGTTTACAGATTGATATTATTCTGCTCCCACAACACTGTGGCCGGTTGATTTGAAAAATATAAAGATATGTTTCAATATAATGTAAACATATACTTCCTCTGTCAATTTATGTTTTGAGATTTGACTGCAAATGTCACATCCATAATGCTGGAACAGCTCATTTAATACTATTTACAACTTTATGTATGCTACAGAATAGCCTAATAGTGAACTGAAAAACTACTGTAGAATACTGTAGTTTTTACTTCAGTAAACTACGCTGTATCACAGCTAATGTATCCTATTTTTGTTGAAAACTACAATTTGGGTCATTTGTTTATAATACTAGCATATAACTGTTGTGTTATTAACTAGATACTGCCATTTTAATCAGCTTTATTTTCCCAAATGTTTCTGCAAATACTGTACAGGCTATAGCCTATAAAAGGTCAACAAATGGAAAGCACGAACTGGCCAGCACATTTCAAGTAGCTCACTTGATTGTAATATGGCTCAGAAACGCTTTTAGCCTACTTTAAATGACCACAATATTATCCACATGCAAAAGCTTACATTAGGACACAATATAGCAAATGTGTTTTCTCGTTTAGCTGAAATGAATGCTGTTAATGGCGACCTCCAGTGGTTTGTCACACTTTTATTTTATGCTCCATCATATTTGACCCAGATCAGTCTGGTGTATGTAGGCCTTTCATAAATGTACATGATAAACAAATAGCTCAGAC